CATATATATATATATATATATATATATATATATATATATACCACATCATTAAATGTAATAATTTAAAGAGTAATATTTATTAAATAATATTAAAATTTAATAATTAATAAATATCAAATTGAGATATGATCAAAATTTTGTATTACATTATATTTTTCATCGATAATACTTACCATTTATAGAAACATTTATATAATACAACTTTTATGTAATAAGAATTAATCTCTTTGGTGATTAGCCGCATTAAAAAAAAATCGTGTTTGAAAAATTCTCTAAGAAACCAACTTTGTTTTTTAAGTTATGAATGTTGATGGATTACAATCGAACTTGAGTTCTCTTCGTTAATATTACTGAAAATTACTTTTCAGAATAAATACATATTATTTTGGAATATAATTTTTTAGAAGAAATATATCATTCCAGAAAATATATTTTTTTAAAAAACAAATATATAATTACAGAACTTGTTATTTTAGAATAGTACATGTTTATTTTAGAATTTAATTTCAGAAGAAAATGTGATAAAACAGAAGTATAAAGTATTATTTTTAAAAAGTTAATTAAAAAACAACCTTATATATTAGACACAAATATTTATTTTATACAAAAATATTTTTAGAGATTTTACTTCTATGAATGATTTTTTAAAAAATTTATATTTAATTCAATTTTTTATTTTATCATAATTATTTATAAACGAAATTTTAATATTTTAAAAATATATTATTGATAAACAAAAATATCTTGTGATATAATATAAATTGTTTATTATAAATCTAAAATATATTTTATTTATTTAAAAATATCTATTTATTTAAATTTAGAATATAATTTATATATTTAAATATAATATTTATTTATATACATAATTTATCTAAAATTTTAGTTATATAGTAAGATTTAATTTATGAATTATAGATGTTAAAATATTAATTTTATATAATAAAAAAAATGGAGGAAAGGTGTATCCAATGAATAGACATAGTGTAAATAGAAAATGGTTGATGTTATGTTACTGGGTCTTAAGTCTTAACCATAGAGGCTAGAGCCCATTCTGTAGCCTGATACGTGAAAACGCGCGCATTTCAAAATCTTGAACGTTGAACCAGAGATGTTTCCCTTTTGATGTTCAAATAAATATCAAACCATTCCAATCCTCATTTTTTGCGTACGAATCGCTATTCTGTGCGATCCGATCAACGGTAAAAACATTTCCACATTCTTCGCTCTTTCTTTCCTTTCTATCAATTTTAATCGATTAAATGCTTCTTACTTGTTACTCAATCTTAATCAATCATCTACACTACTTCACTGTTTCATTTCCTTTTTAAATTTTGATGTCTCGATTCTGCTTTCGCTTCACTCTGTTATTTGTAGCGCCTCTATCCTGAATGCTCTTAGGTTGTCTTTCTAGTTTCCAATTTTCAGATTCTCTCGTTGTGCTAGGGTTTTCTCTCAAGTTAATTGCAGTTTAGTTAAATACTTGCTGAATTGCTGAATTTTTATTCTTAGATGAATGAATTTTGTGAATGTTTCGGTTATACGCATAAAATTGCTTTGAGGTTGGAACATTAACATGGTATGTTGTTAATTTGTACCTCTAGGCGTCACCAATGTCAACTCGAAGGGAAAGCACAGAGAGCGAAGCCACGAGGAAACGAATGAAACCTGTGGTACTTGTTTTCGTCTTTCAACTTTTTCTCTGTTATGACATGTTACCTTCCGTTCTTTTCGGTATCCCCTTACTTATTTATTTATTTACAATAATCAGGTGGGAGATGAAGCAGAATCAAAGACTGTAGAGGAGGAAGAATTTGAGACACACGTTGCTGGATCTGAAGAAATGGAACTCAGTATCTCTCTTATTCTTGAGAAGATTGAGAATTATACTCAGAGGGTAGCTATATATACTTATACACCGTGTGAAGCTTGGGATCATACTGCATAAAAGAATTAACTAACTCTTTTATCAAAAAAATAAAAATAATAATAATAAATTAACTAACTCTTTCACATGCTGAATGATATGGATTGCATGTAGGTATCTGAGCTCCTAGAGTCAGGGAAAACAATGTTAAAGGAGCTAAGCGATGAATTTGAAGAGAAACTGATCATGTGAGCTGTGACATTGTCACTAAACATTCTGAGTTAGGGATTCATTTACTTGTAATACCGTTCGCTTTCTGTGGTATGATCCTTTTAAATTTACAATATTCAGGATTCACAAGGAGCAAGTCGAAAAATGGCAGGAAGAAATCAGAGAATTGCGCGCACTAGATGCCTCAAATGAGGAAGCCAATGCTCTTCTGCATAACGCTCGATATCTTCTTCAGCCCACTCATGATCATTAGTGAGGTTAACTTTCTGATGTCTATGTATATTCGTTAATATAATCGCCCCCCGGTTCCGCACGCATTAATCAGGAAATACCTATACCTTGGTGGGGAGAAATTATTAGGTGTCGGTGACTGTTATGACCCTGACTAATCTATACACAATACATAATCGAGTGCTGTTAATTTTTTTTTTTTATTAATTGAAAAACTTGAATACATCACAATTTGTTAGGACCATGTATACGTGATGGTCTGACTCTACTTATCAATTTCTTGTAGGGAGAAACTATTATGTGCTATTCTACCCTGGGGATTACTCGGGCACTGTTAGATCATCATTAGGAATTCTTGGATTAATTTGAATTGGACTGTGTTCCATTATCTGATTGATCTTAAGGAGCAGTATATTCTCATCGCAAATAATCACAATTGGTTAAAAGTAATGATACATGTATTACAATTATATAACATCATTTTTTTTTATCTCTCTTGACATCATTTATTATATTTAAGATTTCTCTCTCTCTCTCTCTCCTTTCTTTCTTTCTTTCTATTACTTGTACAAATTGTTGTACCAATATCATTTTCCATTGATTAATATGGGTTGGGAGTAATAAACATTTTAGTAGTAATGACGCATGCAAATCCGTGGCATTTAAGTATGTTAACAGGAAAGATGTTTGAATGTTGCAAGTACTGCGTGTAAAACGATGCAAGGGTTAAGTCCTTCTTTTTAAACCATTTTTGCTCCGCACTTGCCTTTTCTTGAATTCAATTTGTTTTGACCAATTTCCTGATGATGAGCTCCTATGCTAAAGGCTAACATATTGTTGAAAGGGTTGATATTGAGATGTTTGTTCGCATGCAGGTTATCCAACGTTTGCGGATTGAGTGAAAATTCATGAGATATTAATGTTTTACCAATTACCTGGATCCCATATGATATACAGGCATTGTTAGAAATAGTCTTTACTTTGATATACATGAAATATATAGATGGTTAAATGAATAGAAAAATTTTCAACGTTACCAATTTAGTGTTGTTTTGCTTGGTAGTAAGTGAAAGGGAAAACTTTAAGGCTATATTGTACTTATGATATGAACATTGCATTAAAGATAACAACTTAGCCATCATCGGGAAGAATGATAGCATATGGACGTTATTTCACTGTTTTTGTGGAGAGGTTACCTTGTTCAGTTGTCGTGGATCACTGCAAACAAAGAAAAAAATCATAAAATATTCAGAGTGGTAAACTCATGTTGTAAACGCTACCCATGTACAGGACAGTGTTGGCAGATTTAAGTTATGCTGAAACAAGGATTGCGAATGAAGAGCCACTCGGGGAAGCAGAGATAAATTATACTACACCTAAAGGGAAGGGTAATAGCATATGCAGTTATGTCCCCCTCATCCTTTTTTAAACTGCATTGCATTGGGTTTGCAACTAGACAAAGATCCACACAGACTCAACTTATTAAGTTTAAAACAAATTTTAAAGTGAATTTTTTTAAAAAAGATTAATAATAATATCTTTTGATAAAAAATAAAAATATTTTATAGATGATTCTTGAAAAAAAAATAATAATTATATTTGTATATTTTTTAGAAATGAGATTTTTAAAGTGAATTTAAAAAAAAAAACAAAAAATAACTTAACTTTTAAAAAATTATATAATTATTAATATAAAATATATTTTTTAAGGGATCTAAAACAAAGGGTTGGTTGGCTTAGAAGTTGAACTGGCCTTGAGTAGATAAATGTTACATATACAACAATTTGTTTTGTGCAACAATCATAAAAAATTGAGAAAAATGAGAGAAATTTAATATATATAATAAATGATGATAGAAAAAGGTAAAAAAAAAATTGTACAAATTAAATTATAATATAGAGTGTTATACATGGATCATTTCTCTAACACATATTTTTACTCGTGGATAACTAGTGTCGATCAAAATGCTTGTTCAAATTCATATAACTTCACTTTTCACTAAGTAGAGAAGGATAATGATAATATCATTGTTTTTGTTTTGACATTTTTCTTAACAAAGATTTCCAAATTTTTTATTGAAGATATATTTCAACTTAGTGGAGAAGGCCATTTCCAAATTGTAGTTGGGAAAAGAGGGGGAGGAGAAAATAGAGAAGCGGTGAAAAGGGGGAGCAAAGCCCTAATCCGAAGAACCACCAACAGTGCTGCCTATTTCGCTGAAAACTCTGTTCTTTTTAAGAGTTAGTCATTCTTCATTAATCATTATCTTATGTGGCTTGCTGATATAGAAAAAGGAAAGAGAGGATAATATTTTAGCCAAAGATTTGCGTTAAAACTTAAAACTGTAAAACTTGGAGGACCCATTTATTTTTAACCAAAATAAATAAAGCAAGCAAAAAGTTGAATTCATCTAGGACAATTTTTTAGTTGTTGATAAATCTGGGATGATAATTCTGAGTACACGTGGAAAAGATTTGTGGTCTAAATTTACACCGTTTAAATGTACTAATTTGCATTTTGCTCATTCATATGAAATTAATTTGGATTCTGTCATTTGTTTAATTTGATCTTTTGAAGTGCGTTACCACATTATTTATTAAAAAAATAATAAAATTAGTTCTTCAAGATTTAAATTGTCATTATATTTTGTTCTCAAAAGATTTTATTATTAAACAAGTCTTTTAAATATTTAATCTTTTGCTAAATTAGTTCTTCGAAAAAAAAATGTGTCACTACATTTAAGATAAATATGGTAAGATTTTAATTTTTCAAAGGGTTAATTTGATGATATATTAAATTTTTGAGAGATTAATTTGCTAGATAAATGTTTGAAAAATTCAAGTGGTGATAAAAAGAAATTTTAAGGATAAGGGGGTTTGGCTTAGTTAGGCGAGAGGTGCGTGAGTTGTTATAATTAAACTTCCTTGAAATTGAGTTTGATTTCCACAAATAAGAAAAGCCTTCTAAGTAGTTAATTTGGTAATTATTTATTTTTATTATTAATGTTGTTATGTGAGTAACTTTGGAGGATTAAACTGAAGGTTTTCTTTGTTTAATGAGTGTAACGTGCATTAAATTGCATAATAAAATAGTGTGAATCTTGTGTATGTAGGATTATTTATTATTATTATTATTATTTTTTTACGATTATCAGACTTATGTTTGAATCACCTTATGCATATCCCAACCCCCAAACTATTTCATGTAGGAGTGTTCAAGAATCAATTCAAACTATTTTAGATCCCCAAATTGATTTAGAAAACTGAAACTCAAGCTAAAATTTGGAAAAAATTACTTTCTTTATATTTGATTTGGTTGTATTTTTTTTTTGGTGTGTTTAAAATCTAACCAAACTAAATTGAATTGCAAAAATATTAAATTCTTAATAATTTTCTATTATACCTTTAAATAAATCTTACTTAGAAGTCGATGTACTGTTCAATAAACATGTTCTTTTTAAAGCGTGATATTATTTGACTTGCAATGTGTAATTTATACCAAGTTAGGATTCCATGAGATATAATATTGTCAAGTTTTTCGTTTATTCTTATTTTGTAATGAGTTTTTCTTCTACATTTGTTATGTATATCTTTTGCAAACATGCATAACAAATCAGGATGTTAAAAATTACTCATTAACTTTCTCATCAATAATTTATTTTAGAGAGTAAAATCTGATAAAATATTAGGAGTGTTTGCAATTCAGTTTATACTTTATATGAATGTGGAGGACATGTAGTTCACATTCAGCAATGGCCAATGGGGCCCTCTTATGTGAAGCAGTCGTTTGGTGAAGATGCCATTGCCATTGCCATCAGCCATGTGCCATATGGGCGTAGGTCCATGAGATAAGGCAAAATATATGGCATATATTCATGAGCTGACTTACTCATCATAGTCAAAACTTCTTTAGTAGTTGCTAATATAATAAAGTTTTCATTTCTTGATAAACAAGGTAAGGCCATTGCACATACTAAGGGATTGCATGTTACTACTAACTACAATTAACACAAACGTTTATGCTCATGTTTTCTTCAATGCTCTTGCGTGTAAGAATTGACTTTGTATCATACAAGAAATAGCTATTTATAATGCATTTTTTTTATAGATATTTTTTATTATTAAATAAAATTTAATTACGAGGCTTGTTAAACAAGGAATGATATTATCAAGAATTTACCTTATTTAGTAATGCTTGCATAAATTTTATCTAATAATAAATAGCGTGTTAAAAAAAAATGTTTGAAAGGTATATTATCGGCATTATTCTTTCTAATATCAACATTGTTATTTCGTATTATGTAGAGTCCTTATGAATTCTATCTAATAATAAATAGTGCATTAAAAAATTGTTTGAAAAAAATACATTGTTAGCATTATTCCTTCTAATATTAACATTGTTATTTCGCATTATGAATAGACCGTATGAATTCTATCTAATAATAGATAGCATGTTAAAAGATTGTTTGAAAAGTGTATTGTTAGCATTATTTCCTATAGTATCAATATTATTATTTTGTGTAATGAAGAGGCAGAACGAATTTAGACAATATGTGAAAAACTCGCATTCTTTTTAAAATTTATTGATTCAAAATTTTAAATAATATGAAATACAATTTAATATAAATCACCATTAGTGCATCGTAACAAAATTTTTTCAATATATATTTTATGAATACAAATGTAATAAAATTGGCTTGAACTTTTAACATTGGTGCTTCTACAGTTAAGTGTGTTGAGTTTAATATCTTAAAGGACTTCTCCTAAAATGTGTTTTAACTATGAGCTTTTAAAATTACCAATTTAAAAACGAAGTAAGGTCATGGTTTAGGTAGATTTGTAGGTAATGGACGAATTTAGGAAGGGTAAGTCCGATCTTGACGCTCTTTTCTCAAAATTTTAATGTGTATGTCAATTTTATTTTTTTACAAAAATCTTAATTTTATAATTTACAAGTATTTTTTTGTTTATATACATAATTCACACAATATTTCAAAGTTGATAATCAATAATTAATTTGCATAAAATATGACTTTCACTAGTCAAATATTATAATTACGAGTATAATTATATTTTGTTACAATTTGTTTGGATATAATTCCTCCCTTAAGTATTTTATAGATCTATCCTTTGTGGTTCAATTGATTCAACTACTTAAATTAATTACTCCCCAAAACAACTGAATAAATTTGTAGTTTAATCATTATTGATCCGGATAATATTCATATTAAAAACACTGACGAAATATATAGTTTAATCACTCCCGTTTCAGTTCAATTTTTTATAATATTATTTAAAAAGTTGATCGTTTGAGTTTTGACAATGAGGGAGGAGAAGAATCTTCTATCTGTTTGTTAGTTAGTTTATAATTAAAATAGAGTACTATTCTGACAAAACACTAAATCAATATATACAATTTATCATTATATTATGCACGTTTACTACGAAGCAAATTGTGCTGCAAAAATGCAAATTGCATTTGACTGTACCACTACGTACCACGGATCCTATGACCGACACAGCATGTTCTTTCACTGCACAATGAGACAGATTGAATCATATGAACAAAACGTAAGATGAATATTGATCTCAAGACGGCGTGTTAAGCAATTAGCATCTATCGTTGTGTACTATAATTATTTTAATGGGTTGAGTCTTCTTCACACCTACCTAACTGCCTTCTATTTCTTTAATGCGTGCATTACATACTAATTCTTCTTATAATAAGAGAACAACGATTGGGTCAACATCACCTTTTTTGTTCGATAATACGAATTTGAGTTTGAGTCAATTTTTTATATGAGCCATACGTCCCTAGCAACAGTTATAAATACCTCATAGGAGCTTGTCATCTTTAAGCAGCAAACTAAGAAAGTCCTTGTTCCGGATCAGACTAAGAGAGAGAGAGATGGAAAAAATAATTTTCTGTGGTCTAATAGTGCTTGTGGGGTTATTCACCACAGAACTTAGAGTGGCATCTGCAGCTTGGCAACAAGCTCATGCAACTTTCTATGGTGGAAGTGATGCATCAGGAACAATGGGTAAAAATATGTTCTGCTTTTTTTCTATTTCTTTTTCTCATCATATTTCTGAAGTTCATTAAAACACCCCTTTTTATCTATTAAAATTATAATGATGATAATAAAGTTTGAATTTAAGATTATGCATGCCACTTTTACCACTAGATCCAACCTAGTAATTCATTTTAATTCAAGTGCAAAATAAGAACATTTTAATTTACATATGTTTTTACTCATAACACATGACATGAAAGGAGTACCATGTTTGTACTTGTAGGTGGGGCATGTGGCTATGGAAATCTCTACACTGATGGTTATGGAACAAAAACAGCTGCGTTGAGTACTGCTTTGTTTAATGATGGCAAGGCATGTGGTGGCTGTTATCAGATAGTTTGTGATGCAAACCAAGTGCCCCAATGGTGTCTCAAGGGCACTTCAATTACAATCACTGCCACAAATTTCTGCCCTCCAAACTATGCACTCCCTAGTGATGATGGGGGATGGTGTAATCCTCCTAGACCACACTTTGACATGTCTCAACCTGCCTTCGAGACGATCGCCAAGTACAAGGCTGGAATTGTTCCAATTTTCTACAGAAAGTATGTTATGTCGTGTTATGTTATATCATGTCATAACTAAGTGTTTTCCTTTTGTTTTCTAAAAAGTGAAAATGATTTCAACTTGTCATGGTGATGTATATAGCTAGTTAACTGATACACGTTCAAATTTGCTATGCATCTATGCAGAGTTGGGTGCAAAAGAACTGGGGGCATCAGATTTACCATCAACGGGAGAGACTATTTCGAACTAGTGCTCATAAGCAACGTAGGTGGAGCAGGGGATATTTCAAATGTTTGGATCAAAGGGTCTAAAATGAGTAACTGGGAAACCATGTCAAGGAACTGGGGAGTTAACTGGCAAAGCTTAAGTTATCTTAATGGTCAGAGCTTGTCCTTCAGAGTCCAACTCAGCAGTGGAAAGATTCGCACAGCTTATAATGTGGCACCGTCCTCTTGGACATTTGGCCAGTCTTTCAAAAGCAATGTTCAGTTTTGAAGGGAAGCATACATATAATATTCAGTATTCTTCCATTTCATACTTCTTTATAAATATATCCGGTTTCTGATTTGCTTGTCCAAGGGATGTACGTTATATTTGTATGCTTTCATAGGGGTTGTGGCTCACCAATTTTAGCACTTTGCGATGAAGCCCACCAAATTTGATATTTTTTTTTCTTAACTCGGGCAAATATGTAAGCCCAAACAGGTACTTGAAGTTTGCAACTATGTGACAAAAACGGAAGAAGCTTGTAATGATCTGATATACATTGTAAAATGATCTGCACAACTTATAGTACTAATCTTTTTTAGATAGTGAAGGCTACTTATTCAGTTCGACCGCTCCTAATAGGCTAGTAGTTCAAATACTAGGGTTAAAATGTCCCCATGCAGCAGGACATCAACTTTCTGCATTTAATGTGAACATGCCCACTACGTTAGGATTGAGTCACAAGGCAAAGTAAATAATAGTTCAACTACAAGAACAGATTCATCGATGCACTTCTTTTAAATTCCAAAGGCGAAAGCCAACTAATTGAATACGGTAACAGAGTAACCCACTAAAATTGACTAATGGTAAGAGATTAAGGTAGTTTGCAGGTTAAAGTCTTATTAGCACTGTTGTACACCAAACAAAAGATGATGCATCGGTTACTTTTGATTTTAGAACAATTAAAAATGATATTTTAAATATAATATTCAAAAACATTTTTATTTACATAAGGTAAAATCAAACTCAATTCTATTCAACTTAAAAGCTAAAATAAAATCATTAAATCGAAATCAATTTTATTCAAATTAATTATGAGAATCTAAAATCTAAAGCAGAGTACAACATATACTTACCTTACAAAGTGATTTTGGTTGACGCAAATGGCGATTTGCATCAAACCGTACAAGCACTCTGTCATTATGAACGACTAGCATGCAACTTTTCAATGGAAAAATTAAATATTATAAATGTAATTATAATACATCAAGATCGGCTTACAAGACACCAGGTAGCACCATCACCATTATAGCCATTGCCAAAACTGTTCATACCATATCTAGTATCTTAAGAGGCGAACAGCAAGTTATTGATGATCAATCAAAGATATGCTGAATATCACAATTCTTTTGCTGCCTCTCAACACAGGCCACTGAATAGTCAGAGGATGCCGGCAGTGACTAAAATAATATAATTTTGTTCTTAAAAAGGGAACCGACAAATATTAATGCTCAAGCAGCCCTATGATCTTCTGCTAAAGTTCGAACAAGGAGCTGATGTAAATCAATGGAATCCATTTGACAGAAGCTGGAATTCCAGCAATCCTTGATGTACTGTTGTAAAGTATGCCACCAATATAGCATTCATGTCATCTTCGCATGACACGATGCCGTTCTCGTTTCCTGAAGCGCTCTAACATGAATTCATCAGTTGCAGCCTGCCTCTGTACTGCTCCAGGTGCATCACTGCTGGAATCATTTTGTTTCGATCCAGAACTATCATCCTGTAGACTTCTATCTTTGTAAAGCTCTGGATGTTCTGCAAATTGGTGGCTTTTCCGGTCAGTAATCAGAATGCTTTAAAACAAGTAAAAGCAATCAACAGTTACACAACTCTATCTATAACGGTACATGCTACAAGATAAATTCTTCGATAACTAAATCAAGGTCAACAAGAACACAGCAGAAAAGCACACATGCATATGTATCTAAAATGATAGAATCAATGAAATGCAACCTCTCCTAAGTTTTTCAGCATAATCCCTGCCACGCTGGAAATAATCAGCACTATAACTTGCGGGAATGTTGAAATCTGACTTTGTACGACCCATAAGCCTCTTCTCCTGTAGAAGCTTTTTTGCAGCCTCTGTTTCTTCAATATTTTTCAATTTATATCTGCAAACATGAAATCAAACCCATTAAGAAACATCACCATTTCTCTTCCTCAATAAATATATTCATAAAAGAAACATTAGACAAAGACCATCGTACTTGCAACATGTAAGAGAACCTATTACAGTTTAAAAGCAATGAACCAAGGACAAGATGAATCATTTAGACTATAAATCATTGAAAGAAAGAACTTTCAGCTGGAAAACCAAAGTTCATAAAATACAGTTGTTTGTTCCCAAATATAGGTAGTTAGGTACTAAGAATCGCCTAGATAATCACACATGGCCAACAATGAATTTGAAAGAAAAAGGATACACTCAAGAACCATCATCAAGTACTAGCAACATATAAGAGAAAGAGGAAAAAGTATTACCCTTAAAATGCAATCAACCAAGGACAAGCTGAATCGTTTTGAATATAAAACATTGAGAAAAGAAAGCTTCAGAAAAAATGCCAAAGTCCTCAAAATGTGGTTTTTGTTTTCAACTAAAGTCACTGAGTTAGCATTTGGCGTGCAGACAAAACAGAATGTTATGTTTTGTTGTCCTTGGTTCCACACCCCTTTCAGTGTAACAAAAAATTGTACCACTATGTAATTCCATCTCCCATTATGATTTATTTTTAAAATGCACCAAACGTACAATAAAATTTACATGCAATGCTTTGTTCCGTACTAACCAGTCTACAAAAAAACTACTCGTACAAATCAATTTATCCCCCAGATGTATAGCAGATGACCAACCATTAACTAGAAAGGAAAATGAAACACAAAATACTCGACTAATCTATACTTCTTCAACAAATAACTGAATCTACAGATACAGCCCCATAACAACAAATATGAGATAACATACTCAATTGGAAGCTGGACCTCAGCAATACCAGTAGTCCACTGAGTAGAGCTTTCTTCCGAATTTCGTCTTTTTACCTGACAAAATAAAAAAGATGAAATCCAATAAAAGGCAATGCACATGAGAAGATTAAGCTACTAAGATGAATGATACACTAACTGCAAAACACACCATCCGTATCCCTAACAGTGCCTATAATCTAGAAAGTAAACAAAGAGCAGACACTCACTTTAAGATGCTCAGGAATCTTATACAATTCATCTTCAGCACGTTTCAGCTCATTCTCCACTTGATCTGCCGCATCAATTTTCCTTCCCCTCTTCTTAGCTAACTCAAGCTCAATATATTTGACCCTGTTCAAGAAACAATTTGCACCAAGAACCACATCCAAATTCAAAAACCATACGAGAAACACAAAATAATAATACATTATCCACACACACATATTGGGGTCTTCAACCATAACAGCGGTCTCTTGAGCAAAGGTGTCTTGAAGAACGAGCTCGTCCTTGTCGGCGCCGTCGCCGTCGTTCTTGTCGGGGGGTTTAGCAGCTAAACCGGCGGCGGTTGCGGTCTGCGCTTGCAAAGTAGGGTTTGCCAGAATTCCGGATTTCCTTTCCCTCTGCTTCTGGAGGAGCTTGATTTCCTCCAATGCCATTCTGATAAATGTAATGCAACTGAATCAGTGAAATCGAAACCCTAACAATAACATGAAATTCCCTGTGAGAATTGAATGAGAGAGAAACCTTCTTTCCCGTTCGTCGTCGGATTCATTGTTGCTTTGAGATTGAGGAAGTTGATCTTCGTCTGAAGGAGCGCTTCTCTTACGGTAGTTCTTCTTTCGTTGCTGCGGTTGTTGTTTCGAATCTTCCATTGTTGTTTGCTGCATATGCGAATGCGAATGCGATTGCGATGCCCAGCTTTAAACGTAACGTTTAACACTTGTTTTTGTAACGCATCAAGGTTACATGCCATTAATATATCATAAAATTGCCATGCCACTTGTGATAATACAATAAGATAAAAATAAATTTTAATTTTATCTAATATTTGCTTTAGCTTATTTTTTGAAAAATAAGTTTTAGTTTAATTGTTTAAAACATTTAAATTTTAAAAAATTGTAGTTTTAACTATATTGTACAAAAATATATTTTATTAAAATTAAAAAAATATACACAATAATTTAAAATTGTAATTAATATAGTAATATTTTTTAAGAACCATTCACATGATAATAATAATTTATTTTTGATATTTATAATTATAATATACATTAAATTTACATGTCAAAAATATTATAAGTGTATATAAGATAAAATATTAAATACAAATTTTATAATATATATATATATATATATATATTAAGTAAATTAATATATATATATATATATGTATATAAATTATTTCTTATATTATATATATAACATAATATAGAGAAAAGACAGCTTTAGTTCTAATTAATTATCTTCTCAAAATAAAAAATAATAATAATAGACCAACAAAATATAATAAATAATTAGATAAAAAAATATCAATTTTTATGAACACAACAAATAATTAATTATAACAAAATAAAATAATTATCATATTTATTTTGTTATATCTTAGTTACCAAATAAATCTTTATAATAATCTATTCTAAATATAAAATATAATTTATATATTAAAGAATATTTATTCATATAAAATTTAAATTAATATAATTTATATTAAAATATATAGTGTTTATATGCATATATAGTTTATTATGATTACTTTTATATATATTATAAATGTTTAACTTGGACTATGTACTCGTTAAATTATCATTATTATTAAAGTCAATAAATTTATTATAACTTATTATATATGGTGAGTTTTGACAGGATGATAAAATAAAAAATACATTATCAATGCATAATTTGTTTTCTATATATATATATATATATATATATATATAAATATGATAGTCTTTGAAGAATGAAAATAAAAAAATGTAATTGAAATTGTACTGACCAACCGAGTTGTCGACCTGTCCCTCACCAATCTATTGACTCGATCAAGGGTTTACCAGCTTGACCAAGCAGTAAACTCATTATTGTCGAGTTCTTCAGCTCGGCCATGAAACATGGACATCAGAATATCACATCAACCCAAAGAGGCCACGTCATCAAACATATAAAAATACAATCTTGTCACCGCGCCGCAATCACAAGGTAAAACCCTAACAATGTCAATGTGCCGGTAGACAGTAAAAACCCTAATATTACCAAGGTACGTCTACATAACCGTCACCTCCCATTAACACGTCGCCCGCGTGTTTCGGGGGGCGAGGTGACACTTATGACACATGGCATCGCGAGAGAGAAGCGTACGCCAAGAGTCACGACCCTTTACCAAGCTCGGTATCAACTCCTCGACCCACGGTCTTCGGAGCTCGGGGGGCTAGTGTACTATCCGTATTGCTATGCCGAGCTTGAGCTCGGCATCTCAGTGCGGCGTGACCTCGGACACGCGCTAGGCCACGTCAGCTCGACATCCAAATGGGTCATAACTGATCTCGGGCCCAATGCCCATGAAAACCCTAATTCACCCTAAGGTACGTGCATTACTTATACGAGACTCGTTTATCCACAAACACTAACTTTGGCATCGGAGTCTCTTTTGCAGGTACCACCCCCATCTTGGAGCACGAGACGTACCCGTGAAGGAGGCTCACCAATCTTACCCAGCAGATCGTCCCAACCACCGATCTCCAGTAAGAACATTTGGCGCCCACCGTGGGGCCGATTAAGACAGCTCTTATCGGCCACGCTTATGGTTTTCACCAGAAGCCATAGCAGATGCGCAACAGACGACCTAGATCACGCAACTAGCATGGACAACGAAGCAGCATTGAGAAGGCTGATCGAGCAGGTCGAGCAGATGCGACAGCAACACACCGCTGATCTGTAAAGCATGCGTGCCAAGCACGGAACTGACCTAGCAGCGATGCGAACCTCTAACGAAGCTGACCTAGCGGCCCTGCGTGCTGAGAATGAGCGTATCCGCGCTCAGCTACCACGGCGCACCTCTGATCAACCCCCTCAACCGAGTAACCTAAACGAGGAAGAGGGGCACTCGATTTATCATCCGCCGACAGCACCTAGGGCACAGACTCCCAAGCCTGCCACACATCGGTCACACGTGCCGACGAACAGGTCGGCCCATGAGGTCAGCAATGCCCCTGCACACGTCATGAGAAATCAAGCGACCTTCCGCCGTCATCCTTTCGTGGATGGCATTATGGAAACGCCCCTCCCCTTTGGATGGAAGCCCCTCCTCATCGACCGCTACGATGGCACGACAGATCCGGACGAGCACGTCGACTTATACGTCACACAGGTAAACCTTTACACTAACGACGATGTTGTTCTGTGTAGGGTTTTTCCGACCTAACTCAAGGGGGCTGCACTGAACTGGTACACCCAGTTACCTGCCGAATCAATCGACGGCTTCGACACCCTGGTCAGGCGATTCACGGCGCAGTATGCCACGAGTCGACCTCACCACGTCACCTCCACTGCCTTGGCCAGTCTCAGGCAGGGCGACGACGAACCGCTGAGGACGTTCATGGAACGCTTCGCCAGCATCTCGGTCAAGATTCGGAACCTGAATCCCGAAGTTGCCCTGCACGCCATGCTCATGGAGCTCAAGCCAGGACCTTTTGTGGACAGCCTATGTCGCCGAGCACCCGCCGAAACTTTCAACTTACAAAATGATATTAAAGGTCTTAAACAAGAATTTTGTACCTGCCTGGGGGTACACTCGTAATCTTCAGGGGAATATGAGGACCGAACGAGAGCTTCAGGTGGATTCTTCGGAGGGGGAGGTACCTGCAAAAGATACTCCGACGCTTAAGTCAGTGTGAGCACGATTTTCTAGGGTAATAAATGAACAGTGACATACCTTGTTATGTGTGACCTATTTATAGCATCTGACATGGGCCTGAGCGTGATGGGCCCTCTCAGATATTTACCAAATTAGGTAATACGGTACTAATTGGTCGTTAGGCTTTAATCATGTACTTACCTTTCTT